TTGGATAGAACTTTTGAGTAGATGTTCATCAGGATGGGAATACACAAGGAATGGTGGAAGGATTGCAGGAAATTTCACAGGTTTTTATATACAAGTTGATATTTTTGGTAACTAGAAGGTTGATCAGTTGTCTCTCTCTAGAAAGTTGTCCATGAATTAAATTTCATGTTGGCATGGCAAGCATAGAGTACCAATATCATTGGCAGTTGTAGAGGAGATCACAGTGGCAGTGACGAGAAAATGTAGTAATTCCCCAAACTAGGAACTGTTGTTTGCAGGATATCGTATGTGGTATGATATAATACAGTTGAGTACGGCTTTCACAGGAGTTACAAAGGGCAGGGCAGTATGTATATATCTACAGGAAACTAGATCTAAATGTTCAGATCATAAACCTACATTCTCCTCATATTTTATACCAGTTTATATTATAACATCGAATTCGTTTATTGTTCTATTGCTTCTGAGGATGATTTTACATTCATTCATAAAATAAGTTCAGTTTGCCTCTTCTTTATATCTGTAATCCTGATTTGTTTGTGTTTATTGGTCCTGAGGAAGTGTGATATCATTGCCTACATATTTTATGTTACTTTGTTCCTGTCTCCACCTCAAAAATACTTAAGAGGAGTCCACTTTAATGATGTTGATTCTATTCATTACCCATAAGAACATTATGGTTAGGAAGACTCTTAAATTGAGAAAGAGGTCAAATGTTGATATTCTTGAAGCTTTATCATACTAAAATAGTTTCCATGTAACAAAATTCATTGAACTTTCCTGATGGAAACTATTATACCATTTGTTTTTCATCCTGAGTCCTAACATATTTGTCTTGACAATTTTATATAAGCATCTTAGAATACCTTTCATGAAGCTCTGGTCTGACAGCATGATACATTTCATATTAAAAGTTGAGTCTTTTTTTCAATTACTTGAAGAAATGTAGATGGTATTTCTACATAATAATATCTGTGACACACTTGCTTTTTAATAGTAAAATTGTCATTAAACTCCTATTGGTGGTGTTGAACTTTGTAGATTAACATAACATCAATAGTCATAAGCTTCTGTATCAGCATTGCAGAACTAATATATATATAGTCACTTGAAATCACTTATTAGGAGATTTGGGCAACAGGCAAGTAAATGAAGCAAATATTAAGCAGAACTTTAATGTTATAAGAAGAAAGATTAAGAGTGCCTAGTTGGACACAATCAAAAGAACTTTTTTAGTAATCATTTTGACTATGCCCATATATGCAAGCTAATATTTATGGAAGTCTATTTTCTTGGGACAGCTATATTCTGGAACTAGATATTTCTTTTCTCAAGCTTATTCTGAGTCAAAGAAATTAGAGTTGAGAATAAATGAAGGAAACTAAAAATCTCAAATTTCCACTTAGTATGTTAGAGAAAATTCATGATTCTTTTGGTAGATTCTGTCCTGATGCAAAATTATCCATAATTTTACAGTTTATTGAGGAATCCAGAAGTCTGATATTCTTTACTCTCTCTTTTTTATTTTAATTCTTTTTTTAATTGTGAAAATACTGTACAGAGGGGTTACAATTACATGGGAAAGATAATGAGTACATTTCTTATCAAGCATTGTAGCCTCCTCCTTTGTTTCCTCTTCCCATCCCATCCTTCCCCCGCCCCCCCAACCCTCCTCCCACCCCCCAAAGTTGTAAAGTTCGTTTTTGACAGAATGACTTGTACATCTATCTCATTGTTGCAATGAGTCCACCTGTATCCCTATTTAAACGATTTGTTTTTCCCTTCCCCTCCACAAATTATACCAACATCAAATACAGTGAAAGCAGGGGTTATACTGTGGGAGAGGGACATACAAAGCAACAAAGAAATAATCTTATAAATGTATTAGAAACAATCGCATGAAAGAAAAAAATACATTTGAATACATATCTTAGGATTCTCTCTTTTGAGAGATTATTTAGTAATTCTTATGGGGCTTACTAGAAAATATGAGAATTCATGTACCTGTGTAAATATGCACAGGGGTAGACAAACATAGGGAGAAACCATACCTTGGATATATTTTTAATTTTGACATATGGGACAGATTTAATGTGAGCTCCCCTTGAATATCTTTTGTTGTTTGGTTATTTGATTTCAGACAATGGAAGGAAATTGCTTGATATTTCACATTGGGAAATTTTCAAGTCAGGATTCCACCTTCTTCTTAAAGAGAAGCCCATGAGCCTCTGTATCAGCGTGTGGCCTATTACTGGCAGAAAATAACTGAAGATGTTGGAGTCATCAAGGGTTAAGGTAAGTTTGAGAAGTCTCTCTGACATTTTCCTATCTCTTCTAAGAACTTTAAGCACTTGATAAATGAAATCTTTCATGCTTTCATGTGATTTCCAAGAAGATTCTCTTCTCACCTTGATAAATCTCAACTAAAGAACATTGTGTGTGTACTTTACCTAAACTTTTCATGATTTTGTTGAAGCTTCCTTTTGCTTCTTTTGCTCTTTGTAAAGTTTGAAACCAGGTGACAACTAGTCTACAAAATCTCTCTGGCATGCTACCTTGGGGTTTTAAGAAAGAAATGAAATCATTCCTTGTAGAGTGAAAATAGATTTGGTCTCTAAACACCTGCTCTTGAAATGTATGTGATAACTAGGACACCATAGAATCTCATGTTATCAAACTAAATAGGGTCCCATCATTAATCATCACTAATTAAAATGTAAGTTCAATGCAGGACATGACAATAAAGGAAGGCTGGTATCATTAATCAAGTGGTCACATCTTGATGACAAGGCTCAATACGCATACCTTGATGACTTATTTCACCATTAATTATATTTTCATTCAATTTATAATTTCTTCTAATCAGTACAGAGGCCAATGGGTATCTTAGACTAATGCATCTCCATATAGCTACCTGACTGAATAAACTAGGATTAAAAAAAGAAGTATTGCAAAGTCTATTACTTTTAAGAGATGAATTTTGGAGGGAACAAAAAAATTAACATAATATAATGAAAATTACATCTGAGACTTTATGGATTTTATTCTCATATAATAGTTAACATACTAAATGCTAGTTAAACCCAAAAATTCTAATATATCCTCCATATGTTCTTTAAATTTCTATATAAACAGAGGTTTTTCATGTCTTTCTATTGCCTAATGATAACGGCTATTCTTCTGAGTTGGATTCAAGGGATTTTCATCGTGTACCACCAGGATGAGTTTTTCAGACACTTTCCATTGTTATTTTCTATTTTCCTTTTCCTTTTCCATTTTAGTTTCACTAAAATGTTCTGAATTTCCTAAGTCACTCCATCTCAGATACTTTGCACAAACTTACTCTCCCTGGGAAGTATGTTAGCTTTCCATAATAAATATATAAATAATCAACATAAAGTGATCAAGCTTAGGTTGGTTCACATTTTGGAGGTTTCAGTCCATAGTCAGTTGGACCTACTGGTTTGGGTCCGCTGTAAGGCAGCAAGCACAACATGCCAAGGATCATATAGCAGAAAGGAGCTACTCACTTTTTGCCCAGGAGGTAAAAGGAAGAAGTTTCAAAATCTCCTTCAAGACAAACTTCCCAGTAGCCTGAGGAACCCACACTAGACTCAACCTCCACCACCTTTCAGTAGCACTGACTTTGGGAGTAAGCCTTCAACAGATGGACATCTCTAGAACCTCATTTGTTATGCATCCTGAAAATTGTCCTGCATTGTTCACAGCAGGTCAATATCATGATCTCAGACATCCCTTCTGCCTCTCTCCACCATCCCATTAATGACATATTAAACACCTCATTTGACTTTCCCTATGTTAAAATAGGAGTTAGAAGTCATTTTCATACTAGTTAGTTACCTGGTTGTATATAAAAACTGGGATTGAGAGCATTTGATCAATTCTCATGGAAATGTATGGCTTTCTTCAGTTTGGATCCAGGATGGCTGTTTGGAATTTCACTCTTCTTGTCCTCTATATGTCAGCAAGGCCCATTTGCCATGTCTATGTACAGTGGTTCATCTAATTATGTGGAGCTTCAATTTTCAACATTCCTACAATTTGACCTTACCCCCCCCCACCTGCATTTCTTTGTTTTAATCTCTTTGAAGACTGAAAACATAGTAAGAATGCACTGGGATATGAAAATGTGTCAATGACATATTGTTAGCCTATAGTTACATGTAAAATGAATAACACTACTTTGAATTTAGCTTTAGGCCCTCATTTACTAGTAATGAAATCTTGGATAAGGGGTTTTATCTTATGAACCTTGTTCTTTATCAGTACAACAGGGCTAATCCTATTTCCCTTTTTCCCCTTATCATAAATTAGCTGTACAAGGGATAGTATTACCATGTGTACATACAAGGAACTTCATCAAACTCATTTTCTCTCTTCCCTTCCTTTTCCTCTTACCTATTGTTCTTAAACAATTCCAACAGATGTTTATGCTCTCTTTTCATTCATGCACATAAAGCAATTCCATCATATTCATCCTCCCTATTCAACTCTGTTACCCATCCCTGACACAGCACATTTTGCTTTCCTTTGATCCTTTTCTTTTTCCATTTTTTTAGCATACTGCTTTTCAATAGCTGAGAAGGATTAAAGTAATTTCTAGAAAATGCCAGGCATCAGATATGTAGTATAAATAGTATATGTTTCAATTCTAAGGTACATATTCTATTCCAAGATACATATTCTATTAAGGTACATAGAAATGACACATGACAAGAATGATGTGCATGTGAAGGCTGTGCTTTAATTATGAAGAAAATGGCAGGAAAGAGCTTTCCAAACTACAAAGCATTGAGAATTTTAACCACAGTAATAATAAGAATTTTTAAATGCTCAATAAACAGATTTTAGTATAGAACTTAAAGACATAATATAACCCTGTAGAATGAGAACCATGCATGTAAAGCTGAGTGATATCTCAAAGACAGGAAACATGAGTTCTTTCCAGCTACTCATGTTGATTTTCATTAATAAGGAGACTACCAGTTGCCTGAGGGGGAGTATCGCTGAAAATTGCTGTATGTATAATTTGTGGGTCTGTAATAATCAGACATGCAGGAGAATGGCTGGCAGCCATTGGACTGGTACCTCAGTGGTTGACGATCATAGCGCAGATAGCTCAATGGTTGATTACCACAGGTCAGGTAGCTCAGTGGTTGGCGGCTATACACCAGGTAGCCCTGCGGTTGATAGCCACAGGACTGGTAAGTTGGCAGGTGGTACCTCACAAGTTGTCTAGAGGATACTGGAGAACGGCAACTGGAACTTTGAGATGTGGGAGGAAGACAGCTAGTTCCTTGATGGACTCCAGACACGCCAGAAACAGTTGGAGAACAGCTGGAAGGGCTACAGGCATTTCTTTCACAGGTGTTAGACTGGAAGCTCCTGCGTTCACCAGAAAGTTCATGGCTGTTGTCATGGGCCACATGGCTTCCCAGGCTGCTACTGGAAGGGCAGGGAGCATCATCACAACTCACCTCTGTGGAGTGGAGAGCATTGGGTGAAGTGACAGGAAGATGGCAGGAATTCCTGAGTGAAGGAGAGCTAGAGTTGTCACAGCAGCAATTGTTGTCAGACATGATGGAGATAGAAGGTCAGGCCTAGACTAAATGGCAGAGAATAGGATGTCAGGGTGTACTTGTCACTTTCTGAACCTCCTCTTTATATACCTTGGCTCCTGGGTGTTGGTCCTCTCTGTAGTCTGTCCTTCTGTTCTACTTTAGAACTATTTGAATGTCATCTCATTATTACTGAGTTGCCTACCCAAGCAGTCCTCCCACTAACCCATAAAAATACAATGTCATCACCAAATCCTTCAAGTAACTGTCATTCCAAAGTGTCCATCAGGTCTTCCCAATCCAATCTTGCTTACACCATAACACCAAAGTAGGTCAACAGCTGCGTTAGGAATTCTACTCCTCTATCAGTATTTATAATTTTTGTATCTATTGTTAAATAATCTATTAATTAATCTTACAATTTGTGAGACTTCATTTATGACTACTTTTCCCATAAAATCAATATATACTTAGAAGTACAGGTAGATAGATACATAGGTATAGATATTTAAAGGCATTAATCATATATTTTTGAAGTGATACATGTTGAAAATTCTTGATTTGGGAACAGAAACCCATGTTTTCATTCTTTGGAGATGTAACCTGTATTTAGGGAAATGTGACATGAATTTCACTTTTAAGTGTATAGTTCCCAATTTAAAAAGAGGTGACCTGAAAAATCTTGTTAATTTTTGCTAAGATCCACACCCATTGACTTTATGTGTCACCCTTCTTTTTACTATAATGAAACTGAAGATGTTGGCAGATGTGTGTTGATATATGCTCTATGAATGCAAGGCCTTTAGATGATTACCTATGTAAATTTCAACACAATTTTGAAATAGGATAGTATGGTATTTATAGCTGGTTTTCTTCTTATTATATCCCAAAATATATTTTCCTGTACATAGAAGCTTTGGGAATAGTTTATATTTCCTTGTAACTTAATCAAGAAAAAAATTAATTACTAATTATTTTCTGAAGTTTTATTATCAGTTGATAACTTAGACTCACAATGTACTCATACATGGAAAATAAAAATAGAAATTACTAGACTGGTTGACCCAAAAGGCAAAAGCCTGATTTTCATTTAGTTATAGTATGGAAGTATGCAACTCAATTTCTAATAATGTAGTTTAATAATATGTTAAATTCATAGCAGTTACATTGTGAGATACAAAAGTTTACATGTTACCATGGTACATAGGGAATTTTTCTTTAAGTTATCAATAACTCTACATGGAATTGTGTTGTTGTGTTACTGGAAAGAGGATATTGTGGACTGATACTTCCATGAGTAGAACTCAACCATCATTTCTGTAAGTGTACATTCATGAGTTGTTAAGAAGGTTCATTTATGAAGATAATGTATATCATTGTATCTATAGAAACATGCTTTTGAGGACACATATTAGAGTAGAAAATCATAGGCATATGTAGTATAGTGTTTTCTTGCCCTCCAACTTCTGATGGTAGTATTTTTTGTCATGCCATGAGCCAACTTTGTGGCCTAGGCAAATATAGCCAGAGCTTATGAGCTCAGTACTATTCAATTGCTAGTCTCTTGCAAGCAGTTTCTATGTTAAATTTCTGCATATGAAAATCAAGTATATTTAAGAGCTTCTCAGCAGTATCTCTCAGGATGTATTAATTATTATTAAAACTATAACTATTATAGAAAGGAATTAACTGTTACCCTCATGGTACACACTCAGGGAAGTTGATGGTGAGGTCTGTCTGCTTGAGATTTGCAGTGAAAAATTGTTGCCAAAGTAGACTTGACTGAGCTGCTTTTTAGATTGTGACCATACACTGCCTTGTTAATCACAGTTGGTGGGAAAGTAAACCTTCCCATTTGGAGGAAGGGCATTCCATAGCTAAGAATCCCTGATTTTCCCCCACCAGAAATTCTACATATCTCATGCTCACTCATGTAAGTTTAGTAATTAAATAGGCACCTTCTCCACTTGAGACACCTAGAAATTTCTACTCTGGCATTGGCTACACCTCTGTTTCTGTGGGTATATTTTAACAGTCATATTTATATGGAACCAGATCTTTACAAAAACTAAATAAGGAGTCAGGTTGTAATTGTCTTTATTGGATGGAGAGGTATCTGCCACAACTAACAACATACTTCAACCTTTTTTACACTGAATCTTAGAGACTTTTAGAAACCATTAGCTACCTGACAAACTTAATCTGAAATATAGATGCCTGGGCTACCTATATTTTCAATTGGGAGTGATAATTCTAATATGTGCCCCCACAAAGCAACTGAATTCTCAGACTCACGCAAAAGTACAAGTATTTCTCTGTATTATGTGTTTGCATCCTTTAAGATGATCAATAACTACTCATGAATGGTGCTGTGGTATTGCTTGGTAGAGAATATTCTGGATTGTTACTCTCCATGGCTACATCTCCACCATTTGACACCAAGAGAGTAACTGTATTTAGAGACTATTGTAAATAAAATGGGATTTTCCCTTTCATTTTTCAGGTGGTATGTTAATCCGTGTATAGTAAAACTAAAATTGAAGCATAGAAACACTGTGGGTAAGAGACTAGTAACTGAATAGTACTGAACTTGTAAGTTCTACTATATTTGCTCAGGCCACAAATGTCAACTGATGGTACTTCAAAATTCAGCATTGACATATCTTTGATATACTGTTTTTTGGGTTTTTTTTTGTTTTTGTTTTTGTTTTGGTTGGTGATGGGCTTGAACTCTGAGCCTGGGCGCTGTCCCTCAGCTCTTCAGCTCAAGGCTACTGCTCTACCACTTGAGCCACAGTGCCACTTCTGCCTTTTTTCTTTTTGCTTATGTGGTGCTGAGGGCCTCATGCATGCAAGGCAAGCGCTCTACCACTGAGCCACCTTCCCAGCCCCTGATATAATACTTTTATAAGTATCTATGTGAGTAAAGTTTAGTTGGTATCAGAAGGATAAAAATGATACTATCTCTCCTATGAGACCACAAAAGTGTAACATAAAAAATATTTTTCATAACTCTCATTGTGCTCTGAAGGTAAGTTCACTTATTTTGAGCACACTGATTGGCACAGAGGTCTATATTTGCAGATCCGATGTGGGGAAAACAAAATTTCTTTCATTAGTGAATATGATTCTTGGAATTCCCTGAAATTGATTGAAGTGAAAAAGAAAATAGAACAGAGGAGCTGCTATAGAACGGCATATTCCATATGCATTGTTTTATGACTTTTATACATAAGCAATCTTCACAGAAGGAATTCTTGCTCATTTTTTGGAAGGGGTGAATAGCACAGAAAAAATTTTGTGAAGGTGACAAACAATTCATTGACAACAGAGATAGTAAGAACATGGGTCATGCATTCCAGAGAATCGATATAGCAAAATGGCACAGGAGTTTCAAAGGCCACAAGAATGGCAGGTATTAGAATTAGTAATGGCTTATATGAGTAAAGAATAAAATGATAACTTCTAGCTCTATCTGCATTTAAACCCTGAATTTGTAAAGGTTGGAGGGACTGCCATAAATCAACCAATTTCCTCATTTTCTTCTACCTGCAGTCATGAGAGTTCTTATTTCTTCTCAGCTAGCAAAAAAATCCTATTTAATTCCATTAGTGAAGTCCAAAATGACATTATATTTGTGAAAATCTTCATATTCATTATGTGATCATCTATGTCCTAGATTTTTTTTACTTCTTTCCTTTACATGAAGGGTCTAATTCAATGATATGCCAAGCTTACCATGACTAATGTCAAAGCCAGACAAGTAGTTATGATATATGACTCAGTGTGCTGGGAAGAGCGTCTTGATGAGTCTTTCTTAAGTAGCATGCATGTTCCTGAGGTCAAATGCTCAATGACCTTCAAGGGATCTTGATTCCAGAAATGCGGCATGTATATACAATATGTTTATGTTTCTCACAGAGAATGTACAAGATGGACTTGGAGCATCTTTGGATCTATAAAAGAAATAGTTTCTCAAAAGCAAAACCAAACAATTAGGACATATATCAAAGAGACACAAGAGTCAACTAAAAGAATTTTTAACATCCAAACAGGAACAATTTTAGTGAACTTCTTTTTTTTAATTTCATTGTAATCTTTGACAATATAGGTGCTCTTTGATTTTTTTTCCCATTTTTTTCCTTCCCATGTTAATCCCAGAAAGAGAACTTGACACTGGCTTTGATCAGAGTAGTTCATCAACAAACAGTCAGACCTTAGAAATGATAAAAACATAGTATCTGGTACAATTTTGAAGGCTAATGTATATTTGCAAATAGAACCGTGAAAAGTCATGTCACTGCAGTTACATTTGCTATCTTTTATCAAGTGGACACAGCTCTTTCACTAATTAAAAACTTCTTTCATTCATGAGAATTAACAAATGAAGTCTCACAAAAACCAAACCTGCTATGCTGAGGAAGCACATTTTCTTGCAGGCTGAAGGGCATGCAAACTAGACTGTCCTAGTAATACCCCCCCCCCAAAAAAAAAGAATACTTAGCCTGGTATGCTAGCTCCAGTGTGTAATCTTAGCTACTTTGAAAGGATATATTGGGAGATCATGATTGTAGGCCAGCTGAAAAGAAAAGACTGGGAAACTCAGTGTGCAAAGGTTTATTAGGGATACATTAGAGAAGAAAATTGACCTCTCCCACTTCTCAAAGTCTCCCATTTAGACAGACTGACACAAAATAGAAATAAACCATTAGTATTCTAGAAGGTCTTGTATCAGAAATATTTTTCCACTGAAACTTAGTGGTGAAAGCCCATTGTACCAATATTTTCTAGAAAATGACCCAGCTTCCCACACATATATCAAATTGCTTTGGCATTGGAGGAAGAGAGTATATATTAATACATTAGATTAAAGCTTTAGTAGTGTTCTCTTCCCACATTCCACCGCATTCACATGGCAGCATTTTATAAACTGCTTATTTAGAGAAGCCCAGTGCCCTGGTAATCCAGGCAGGTGAGCCATGATGGACAGGACACTTAGAAGAGTGCTTGGTATGGAACAG